GCCCGCTGTGCCCCCAGTTGCGGGGCGGCGGGGACCCGCGCCTCGGCAGCGCCGTTGGGCACGGACCGCATCCTCGGGCTTTGCGGTGCGGGATTTTACACCTTCGCATTACAAAGCGTGGAACTGCTATATATACACCTCTCTCTCTATAGATAGAGTTTAATGCAACAGCTATAACCACTGCTATTCAGGGAAAAGCACTTCCCTGGGATGTTTGTCTGAGCGGTGCGTATTAATTGATTGGATGAGGAACAGCAGCATAAAGCCACGAGCGTCCGCTCTGCCAGCACCCGATCTCCACGCTCCCACCTTACAGCGTTCCCCCGCGTAAGCTTTGTGCCCAGGGAGCGGTCCTTGTCCTCCTTGTCCCCGGCGGGGATGCTCTCCTGGCTCCTGGACGCACTCGGAGACCGCGGTGCAGTTTGTGACTCTGCCTCAGTAGTGCTGGAAATGGGTTTTCTCTCCTCTCTCAGCACTCGGGGAAACTTTTTATATAAAAAGGGAGCCCACAAAGTGCCTGGGTCCACCATTCTGGTACTCACTCTCAGCGCTTAATGTTTTAATGAGTTATCTTAACAAGAAGCTCATCTTAGAGTGCTGTGGCACGCAACTGCAAAAACTCTGAGGAGTTTTTCTTAGCTTTTTTATTTATTTATTTTGAGGGTCTGATCCTAGAATCGATGATTCGATAATGCAGCAGACCTTCTCAGGGAAGAGGCTGTTAGAATGCTTATTGTAAGCATAAATAAAATGATCTTTTTTCACTCTCAACTGGATAAAGAATAAAGTACACCACTTCCCCCCCCCACCCCAAGCAAGCCAGTACATTCATCATCTCAGTTTGAGGAGCTGCCCAAACTAGGATTTCTTGCAGAACAGGTTTAAAATGAGGTCTGGTTGCCTGGAGCATCTTTATGAGTAAATTGGTTGAGTACCTTTCATGAGAGTTTCCTATCTTGCTCTGCATCAGTAGTTTTATGTATTAAAATCTCAGCTGTCTAGTGGGATGCACTGTCTTCCTCTGCTTTTTTGGGCTCTTCTGTGGCTCAGCCCAAGGGAAGGATGTTGTTTTGGAGATGCTCTTCACGCCTGCTGGACACTGCTTTGCAAAATAAAATAAGGTGCAGGGCTTAGGAGTCAGCGTGAAGGACTGTATGTGGGATGTGGAGCTCAGTGGTCCAGGAGGGGTGGATTATTTTCCTCCTGAGTAATCCCAACTAAATCCTGGATGGAATTTTCCCCATTATAAGAAATTTAGTCAAAGTTTAGGAGTGGTTTCATTATAAGAAATTTAGTCAAAGTTTAGGAGTGGTTTCATTAAATATATCAGAATGAAGGCGCAGACTGAGTTTCTTCCAGTCTTTCCTGGTGACTCGCCCCAGGATCTGGAAGGATCTGGACTAGCATGAGCATCTTCAGGTCCTTCCTTTGCCCAATTCAGGAAAGACTGCGCTGAATCAAGCACAGCAAAGACTTGCATCTGGAAAATCCTGCGTGTTTTTACTGCAAGTCAAAAAGCTCAGATTTCAGTCCAAAATCAGAGGGCTTAACAAAGCTCCGTTTTCACAACAATGCTGGAAACGGTTTGGTTTTGCTCCAAAGTGGAAAGAAAAGCATACTTGGAAACTTCAAAAATTGCCACCAGGAGGAATGTCACCCCGTGGCCGGCCACGGAGCATGGGCTGCTTTGGTCATGGCACCCGGTGGACGTAGGACACCTTGGTTTTCATTCAGATACTACCGTTACTAAGTAAACTCTCAAAAATCCAGCAGTCAGGAATGGAGGTGAATATCATCCTATTTCTATGCAGATGGGCGAGTGAAGCCGTGGGAGAGCCAGGGCTGGGTAGCCAGGCTACAAACACAAGTGTTTGCTTTATAAAGCCCATTATTTTTGCTGTGTTACCCAGCACACTGCCACCAGAGCAGCAGCTCTTCAGGAAAAGCTTCCAGCTGTGTTGTAGGGTTTGGAAATGCAAGTGTTAATCTCTGTGCAAATTATAACTCCGTCGAACAAGTTACGTTTTACTTTATTTTTCATGTATGTTTTGAGCTCTTGCAGTGTTCAGGAGCTGGAGTGTAACTTCTGAATGTGAACAAGGAATGAAACGGCTGGGTTGTGGTAACAGCCAGCGGAAAAAAAACCCTAAGAAGGCTCTTGTTCGGTATGAATGAGCCCAAGCAGCCTGTCTGAATGAGAGCCATAGAGAAAGTCTAGGGCTTCGCGCTCCCGGGTTAGAGTTAACCACCTTGCAGGCAGTAGAGACCCATCAGTGCAGGGCTCTGACACGGTCATGCCTTGGCGATGACTGAGGATTACTGACAGGACCTACTTACCCTCTTTTTGCTTTTAGCCTAGGGCACACTAAGTTCTCCAGCTGTCCAGCTTGATTAATTGCTTCCTGCGCTCACAGCCCAGCCCGGCACGGGAGCGACCCAGGCAGCCACTGCTTTTCATTTTTTGGTGAAATATTCACACGGGATACAGCAAAACTCCCTTTTCCAAAGCTCTTGGGGCAGAAAGTTCTTGGGACAGGGGAAAACTCCATGTGGCTCTTCAGCAGCCATCAGCAAGTCTGCGCAATCTGCAGATTATACCCCGCAGCAGCGTGGGGCAGTGGGATCTTGCAAGCAAAACTCGCTCGGTACCCCTTGTGCTGCTGGACACCAGCAATCCAAGAGCAAAGAGCATTGCTGCTGCCCTGGTCACTGCTGCCTCGGTGGGCGCAGAGCCCTGCCAGCATCGCAGGCAAAGAGAGCCCTCGGTCACGGCATGGTGTTTTGCACCCCGGCCAGCCTTGGACGTGCCCCAGTGCAAACATGCTGCCCAGCTTAACCTGGATATCCCGTGGAAATGACTCCTGTAATAAAAGTAATTTTCTGTAACATGAGTCCACTATGGAAGTCACCTGTGTGGAAGGGGGAGACAAGTATCTTCCAAGGCTGCTTTAAGATGAAAATTTTGGGGAGGGGCCTTCCATATATTCAGCTGGAAAAATTGAGATGTGCCTAGTTTGAGTTTAAAAGTCAGCATCCTGAGGGATTTTGGACAGACCCCTCTGTATTTCAGGCTAATCAAACAGCTATTGTGTTCTGTCCACAGTGATGAAAGTATTTCGTTAGGAAGATGAATAGATGAACTCTCTGATTAACAAGAAACCACTGAAAAAGAGGGAAGAAAAATCACCAAAGTCGTATTTTGGTGGCTCTCAGTCCCGCCCCAAACTGGTTTCTGTCCTTTTCATTTTTCTTGGGGAAGGAAAAGAAAACGAGAGCTCCTTACAGGTGAAGAGAGGTTTATTCCTTCTCCAGCCTTTTAAGCTCCCAGGAGATTCTTTGCTCTTGAAACTGTTTGAACTTACAGTATGTTTAGCATTAAGAATATTTCAGAAGACCCCTGAGCACTGTTTTGGAGTGAAGTAACTGTGCAGCCCACCCTGCTCTCTGTCGTTCTCTCTTGTCAAAGGTCTCAATCTGTGCACGAGTGGAAGCGCCACGTCCTGCGAAGAGTGTCTTCTCATCCATCCCAAGTGTGCCTGGTGCTCCAAGGAGGTAGGTGGGCAGACTTCGTTTGTCTTGCATCCTTTTTGTAATGCAGAAAGGGAGCTATTCCCCCCGCCTTGCCTGTTCCTGACACCATCCCGCGCCAGAAGGGGTGGGTGAGGGCAGCGGGGGCTCCCAGCCGAGCGTAGTTTGGGCGTATGTGACTCTCCAGCTCTTTGACACTGTAGGAAATGAGTCTCCGACCCTGCTGGCCCCCGCGCATCCTCAACAGAGCAGCACTGTTCCTTCAGTCCTTCTGTCCCTTCAATTACCTTCTTGTTTTCGGTGGGTGCAGGGTCCCTGCATGGGCTCTGTGTTGCAGGGAGCCTTGCTCGAAAGCTCTCTCCCTAAAAAGCCCCCAGCCCCCGGCTGGTGTCCTGCTACGTGTCCCTTGCCGCGTGGCCTGGCATGGCACAGGCTCTTTGTCTGTAACAAAGATGATTCTCCTTTCTGAATCTATTGTGTCATTTTGGGAGCTGACCCATACTTCTGGCGTCTGTGCCGTGCAGTGGCGATGAGTTACACAGCTTAACTGTGCGCTTCGGGGTGGAAATGCATCGTTATGTTGGTGCTGAAGCTGCTCACCTGTAATTTAATTGGGCCTCCTTGGTTTGTGAGAAATTGCAAATATCTTTCCCTGCTCCCTAAGGACTGCTCGTGAGTTAGCGAGAGAAAGACATCTTACCAAATATACATCTTATCATGTAGACTTATGATTTCTAGAGACCAAGGTGTGTGAAAGACCTGATAATGTCCGATGCCTATGTCGCTGTTGTCTGCTTAGTGCCTGCATCTGTCCTAAGTGTTTAAGAGAGAAATACGGATGCTTACAGATGCAGGGAAAGACCCTGCCTACTTGCAGGCACAGCTGCTGTGCCAGGAACCAGCTTTGGGCTGTGAGAAACCCCAGAGCGGTGGATGATCTTGAACCTCTCGACGGGCATGGCCAGGAGTGATGCTCTCCTGTTCCCTGCTGACCCTTTTTCCTCTGGTACGGCCGTCCCTGTCCCGGTCCCGTTTTGGGGGAGGCAAGCTGTGGGGTTGAGCCCACACTTCACCTTCCAGATATAGCTAGTGATGCTGAGCTGAGGATGCAGGCGCTGCCTGCGTGCCCCTCTGCTGCTCCCATTCCTCCTCCTGCCAGCCCTGCCTGGGGCGGCTGAAGCCCCTCGGGGCAGGGGATGGGGCGAGGGGGGCTCCCGAGCCCCACGGTTTGTCTGGGTCTCGGGAGGTACCCCAGCCTCTAGCTCTCCAGGTCTATTTTACTGGGTTTTCACTTACTTGTAGGCACAGTCGCAGCTCTCCAAGGAAAACCTCCTAACGCTACTAACACCATGCTTCCTGACAGCGTAATAGCTTTCATGGGTTTTTTCCAGCAAGGCGAATGGTGTGCAGAAGGGAAAGGGTAAAGCAATAGATCCCGCTTTTGAGACATCTTGTAAACAGCTGTAAGAGCTTCTCTTCCAGCCAGCTAATCTGTGGTGGTGAGATTGGATCCACGAACGCTGGCTATTAAGCTATGGGTACCCAATAGCTTGCTTTTTTTGCCGTTTTTTTTTTTCTTCTTGGCATCAGAAGACAACTTTTTGCAAAATGCTGCCAGTGGAAATGTTTATCTGGGGTCGCTGTGACCACTAATTGTATGGCAGCCCATGGGACTGGCAGCCTGACTCTTATCTTGCAAACAGGAGAGTTACCAAAAAAAATATTCCTAAATGGAATGGGGGGGCCAAGAAGGAAGACGGGTGTTTACAGGGAAGTGCGGTAATACTTCCTGACCTTTAGCCTGCAGCAGCTATTTAAAAATACATTTCAAGGTTTTTCGTGCCAAGAGCTACGTGTTTAAAAGCTGCTGTCCCTGTTACACACTGCATGCTAAAACTTAGCGCGTTCTTATTCTAATTCTATATATTTTTTTTAGAATTTACTGTTTGAAACTCTAATTATTTCTCTTTAACTGAGATCATCAGGTGAGGTAATGGGATTGCGAAAGATATCTAGAGGTTTTCGACTTCAAAAGTTTTAAAGTAATATTATAAACTCTTAATATCCGCTTTCTTTGCCTAGTCATTTCACCACCTTATTTCCCTTCCCTCTGCCACAGCCTAGTCAGGTACCGTTATTAAATTGCTTTTAGTCTGTTCTTCTCTGTTTCCATTAGCTGTCATTCACAGCAGTATGTTGCCTGGGAGTGTATATGCCAGTCAAATTCTATAGCTCTGCTGCTGCTTACGTATCAAGCTAATATATTGGAGGGTTTCCGCAGATGCTAGTTATGTTGTGGTAGGAACACGATCAGCTGATTAGTGTGTATTTTCTGCTCCCTTTGCATTTACTTAACAGGTTTGGGAGCAAATTGGGCCAGCTGTTGTCATCTTTGTAGGCAACAATTAATAATTTTGTCAGGAAGTATATATAATAGAAGTCTATAAGTATATATAATTCTATATATAATTATTTATATTATAATATGCATATATGTATTATATGTACAGGAAGTGGAGAGATGTATATAATATATAGAATATATATACACACAAAATATATATATTATTATACCTTCCTGTGTATATATGCCTTCTTATATGTAATATTCCTTCCTTTGGGGAATAACATCACTTGTCGGTGCCATCATACCTGTTTGTTCTTTGCCCTCTGGGTGCCCGGCAGTGCCCATGCTGTGAGGGACATTCCGGCTGTGGGAGAGGAGCAGTACGAGCAGGAAAGCCATGCTGTTTCCCAGAGATGACCATGGTTCATGCAACCTCCTGCAGTGTGGCATCCTCCTCCATCACCCTCTGCACTCCTGGATCCAGGCTCGACGTGACTGCAGAGGAGCAGTCTCTCAGAGAGCAGTCTCAAGTGCTCCTGGACTGCAAAGAGGGGTTAGGAGTGCACGAAAGCAATTCTGCGGATACAAGGAGACCTATCCCGATGGCTTTCCAAGTGGGATAAGGTTCCTTGTATTTACATTGTCTTGAATTGTGAGGGTAAGAGCATGCATATAGATAGATGCTTACAGTAGAGTAGTCAACATGCTGTAAATTTATAACTACCACCTCCTAACCTGTTAGTACAGGGTGCATCACATCTCCTTGGCTTGAATTGGCCTCTGTTCGCTTCTGCTTGTGTTCAGCATCTCTGCTGCCATCGGAGAGGGTGATGATGGATACGTTGATGATAGCAGCTTCTGGTATTCGGCAGCCCCGGAGCCCCCAGGGGCTCCTGAGCTAACCACAAGTCTTTGGGCTGTCAGAAATTTGGAAGCAGACATCAATTCTGTTGGCTCATGGAAGAATACCTTGAAAGGCAGGACTTAAATGGGGTGATCTGTTTTAATGGCACTTAAAAGAGGAGGTATGTATGTGCGGCCTTAACTGTCGCCTGAGCGTGCCTTGAAACAGGGCTGTCTGGGGGAAATGTGTGACTCTTGGGTGAGGGAGACTGCTGCAGCCTTTCCATCCGTGCTGGAATCTGAGGAGATTCCTCAACTTCTGCAAGCTCCAGAAGAAGCTGGCAATGACTAGAAATTGCTGACACGCTGCTGGTAAAAGACTCTGGCTGGAAACTGCACGCTGGCCTGTGGGGTTGTTGTGATCTCTGCGGCAGCCTGGTTTTTGTGGGTGGGAGAGGAGGATGCTTGTTGATTATTTTTTTTTTTTTGCAGTGGCTTCAGGTTGCCCAGGCTCAATGGGGCTTGTTGGGCTTGCTGAGGAGGGCAGGGAGCTCTGGAAGTGGCTTCAGCACTGTCCTCCGAGCTGCCAGGTGGGGTGTGATAGACAGGTGGGGTTTGTGTTCATGATGAATCAACCTGGAATGATTGCAGGGGGGTTACTCTCCAAAAGACCATTCAGGAGTACCAGTATGGGGGGGGAAATTATGTCATTACGTTGCTGTTATCTTCTGTTTGCTGCTTTGGGGAGCAGTGTACCAACATGCAGAGGCTCCTCTCGTTTGTTAGGTGTGTGTACGCTGTGTGTTCATCCCTGCGTTACCTATGTGGGTGCATTTATATGTGTATGTGCCAAACAGAGATGCACATTAATTACATTAATTAAACTGAAATTTCCTTTTTGACTAATTGAACTGAAATTTTCCCAATGGCACCCTCTGTTTTCCACGAGGTTGCTTGTACCTCATCCTCTCCCATCTCAGGAATGTGTGCCTGGAGAATGAGGAAGGAAAATCAAGGATGTTCCTAGAGGGAACATGTCAATTTTTTTAAATGGAGAAAGCAGGCATATTTCAGACTGAATTAATGCAGAACTGGACTGATTAAAGCAAAAAATGGTAGGGATGTGTCTAGTCAGGAGTTAGATATAGTCAGTTAGATACAGTCAGTGCTATTCTCCATTTTTATGGCATGAACCAAGCAATTTGTCTTAAAACTGTCAAACTGATGAGCATGTAATTGTCACACTGTTGCCTCCATTCACGTCTGGCTGTTTGCGTCCATTTGCTTTTGTGAGCTTGTTAGTGCAGAGGCCAGACCGCAAAGGGCCCACCGGGCTGCGAGCAGCCAGCGTTACTAACAAGGACTAGGTGGGATCTTCCCGAACCGATGCTTTTCTGTGGGGTGGTTCCTGCTTGCTGTGGGGTAGGTGCTGCCTTTCTCTCCGAAGCAGGCCTGCAGGCAGATAGTCAGCAGGTATTTGGGTGCACCGAATTGCTTAACTAACTGCGAGATGTCCTCTGCTCAGGGGAAATTGGGGTTTGAACCGGCATGCCACGTCTGAGCCACCGTGGGGCCGCTTTTTGGCATGGTTGCTCGTGAATTATTTGGACCTGCGTGATATCCTTTACTCCTCAAATCTTCTCATCCTTTTTTCCTTTCATTTAACCTCCGGCAGCCTTGATTTTTCTCTATCACAGAAAACTTTGTGCTTGAGTTGGACGGTACCTGGTAGCCACAGCTTTGGCTTTGGGTTTTGACCTGCGGGTGCACGTGAGGGGTGTTTGTTTGCAGGGTGCTGCAGCCATTGCTGGGGCTTTCCCGAGGCCACTGTCACTCCCCTGCTCAGTGTCACCCTGCCTGGGTTAGAAACCGAAGCAGAAGCAGGTCTTGCAGCCCCTGGGTGCGGCGCTGCACACCCTTCCCCAGGGCGTTTGCGCCCCTGAGGGGTTTATTTTCTTTCACCCTGGGTAATGCAGCATTTCACCGAACAAGAAAGGGCCTGGATTTGATCTGAGCTGCAGCTTGTCCTGTGGCAAGTCCTCTGGGCCACAGGACAAAGTCCTCTTTTTAGAAGAAAGTTTAAGAGAAAATAGCTGGGTCAAACAAGGGGGACTGTGCAGAGGTGCTGCTCACCTGACAGCTTTGTGCAGCTCCCACCAGGAGTTGTGTAGGGGCTTTCCCCTGACCTCCCGGGCTTCCTTTGGAGAAATTTTGTCCTGGAGGCTGCAGAAAAACACATTGCAGCAGTAACCGTTTCTTGCCGCCGTGCAAACGGACAGGCTTGTACATGCACAGGTGCCCTGCCCCAGAAAAGCTCCCGGTAGGTCCCACACGGGTGTGCTCCTCACCCCATGTGCCAGCACTGTCTCGTCCTCGCTGTGTGGATGCTGCTTTCGTGTACAGCCCTTGCTGGGTTGATGAACATCGGTATAAACAGTACCATACCCAGAGCCTTCTCTCGTGGTGTTACGAGCTCGACTGCTAAAGAGTAGCAGCTGGGGGAGGAAGCCGCCATCCTCCTCTCCCCGGACTGCCCCCCCGTCCTGGCTCTTGTTCTGCTGCCCCAGCCAGAAAATTAGCCCTAATTCAAAGCCCTTTGAAGTCGAGTCTTTCCGTTCACATCAAGAGGCTTTGGAGCAGACCCCGGGGAGGACTGGAAATGCCTGATAAAGACTGCAGTTGCATGAGCAGCCCTAAATATCGTCCTATTTGGATACTTCTCTCCAGTGTTAATTCCTCGGGAATAACTAAAGGTTCCCAGCTGCACTCGTGGTGCTGTTTGTGTTGCTTTTTGCACAACTAGAGTGTCCTTTCTAATAGGCGGACAGCAGAAATGAGCTGGCAGAGGTGCTCACGTGGAGCTGTGGTCCAGGCACTGAGAGAGCAGGAGAGCGTCTCCCCATGGGTGCCCTGCTGCTGGGCGGACCAGCCCAGGAGAGTGCCTGGACCCCGCCGGCTTTTCACTGGCTCTAGGTCAAACCACATCCAAGATAAACTTTTCTCCAAGGCTGCCCTAAATATGCTGCTCTGAAAGGCTGGGCATTGTTTTTGGTTTTGTGAGGGATTCTGATTTTTATTTTGTCATGCTGGAGATTATTTAAATAGTCCCAGTCCTCCTTTCTGGAAGTTCATCTGTTTACACGACGTGTTCCAAGAAATTCGTGTTCGCATCCATCCAATGTGCCGTCTCCTTGGCTGGACCCCGGTGCTGGATGCTGGAATGCAAATCTTGCATTTTTCAAATAGCGTTGGGACCTCGTAGTGAGAAAATGCTGCAGAGAGCCTCTGTCTGCATCCCCAAGCCCTGCAGCTGAGGCTGTCTTTGGGGGACCTCTGGAGCACCCTGCGGGGTGCAAAGGCGAGATCTGTCGGATGACCTCTCCCTCCTCGATGTCTCTCCCATCCTCTGCAATGCTGGAGCATCAGCAAAAAGTGGGGTTTATTCAGCCCTGCTCCAGTTTTTGGCTGTGCAGCTGAAGGAGGGGTTGGTGTGGCTGCGAGCATCTTCTCTGCATTATTTCATGTCACTGTAGTCCATCAGCCCCGGAGCAGAAGACGGTTGTCTCTATTGTTATAGTGCAGAAATAAGTAAGAATCGGCTGTTGAAAATTCAATATTTTGGGCATGCGACTCGCTCCCTTTGGCCCTTTTGGGAAAAAAAAAAAATAAAAAAAGACATTCTAACAAATGGGCTCTTTGCAAAAGGCTGCATTGTGTTCCCGAGCGCCGCCCTGCACAAGGCTGCATTGTGCACCACGCACGGGGCTCACAGCGAAGGCTGGAGCTCTGGGCGCCGGGAGACTCCCTGCCATGGCAGCCCGTCCTCCGGGGGTGAGCGGCTGCCTGCGCCTCGCTGCCTGCAACGGGCATGGGCTGCCTTTTGACCGCCTCCCATGCTGGCTCTCCCACCTCCCTTATCCTCCAGCAAAGCTGCCCAGGACAGCCTGCCCACGTCAAACCGCTCCGGCTGTGCTCCGCCTCAGCGGCCGCTTGCTGTGGTCACTTTTTTTCCCCATGTGATGGCGTCATGCCAACGCCTGCAGTGCAGAGGCGTGAGGGAAGGGGGGACACACGGTGCCTGTGTGGGGACGTGGGGCGTCTCGCCCAGGGAGGAGGGCGCAGGTCCCTGGAGCCACCCAGCCTCAGTCTCCAGCTTCACATCTTGGCTTGGCTTTCTGGGTTGGTGGGTTTGTCCTGCTTCCTGTGATGCCATCTCCTTGTCCTCTCTTCTCTCTTTTGCAAAGCTCCTTCAAGGCGATGCGCATGCAAAAAGTAACAGCTTCTCGCCTTTTCCCCTTGAAGAGATGGGAATCGGCTGTCCAGGCAGCACACCAAACACTTTGCCCTGCTTTCACAGGGCTGGGAGCAAGTGCTGCTGCTGTGGCTGGGGTGAAAACCCAGGCTTAGCTTTCTGCTGCGGTGGTCTGTGAGCAAATTCAATTTTCAAACCCTCGCAGGATTTCTTTTTTGGTAGATCCCTTTGACAGGCTTAAGGCTCAGTGTGGGCTGCTTTTGAGTACAGCCACCACAATTGACACCAGCTTCTCCTTGTCATCTCCTGTTTGCTACAGATAGCAGCATGTCAAAAAAAGCTCCTGCTGTGGGATTGATGTCTCTCCCTCCCCTTCCCTTTTGTCCGTTCTTCATCCCCCAGGAGTTCGGCAGCACGAAGTCCATCACGTCACGGTGCGACTTCCTGCAGAACCTGATTGCAAATGGTTGTGCCGGAGCCATCGAAAACCCCAGCAGCAGCATCAGCGTGGTGAAGAATGTCCCTCTGAGCAGCAAGGGCTCTGGACAGACCCACCTGGACGTCACGCAGATCACGCCTCAGAAGGTCGCCTTGAATCTTCGTCCTGGTGAGTCCCCAGTGACTCTGAGCCATATGCTGGGGTATGCTTGTTGGGGGTGAGAAAGGGTGGCCGGGACATGCCGAGAGCATGTTATAGCCCATGACCTTGTAGCCTGCTAAAGAAGGTTGCTGCTGGCCCCCTCCAGAGCCCATGAACTTGGGTGGTGCATCACGAACAGGTTTGGGGCTGAGGTGTATGTTCTCTATGAGAGGAGACTGCTGTTATGCAAGGTCAATCAAATCCCACCCCAAACCGTTGTTAGTACTAGTCTTAACCTTTGCGTGTGCAAAGATGTAATCACTGGGTGGGAGGAGTTAAAATAACTTTGGATCCTCCACCAAGCTGACAGTGCTTGACTCTAAACTGAGACAGCTCCTTCTATAAATTGGAAACAAAACCGCATATCTGTTTTCTGTTGGTATGCAAAAGAGACGTGGGATCAAGGCCGAAGATGGAGATTTGAACTTGTGACTCAGGCCTTGGACTGTGGCCAGATCCCTGTTTCATTCCCCTGGGCCATCACTTTTCTTCAATCTTTTCCTTTTAATTAAAAATTAGAAGGGAAGGGCTAGGCTGAGCCATGCGAGTATGCTTGTTATCAAAAGTTTTTGCATGGTGGGGGGAGGCTTTAATGTGGGTTCAGTATTCTTGCAAAAATTTGGCAGCCAATATTTCTGAAGGCGAAAAAAACCCTCTCTTTATTGCAAAGTTAAGAAGCAAATATAAAAGCTCAATTCATTGTAAGCAATTGGTGTGGGTTTCTAAGGCTTACAGTTTTGTGACAGCTCTCATGAGTGTACAGAAAAATGAAATACGATGTTTTGCCCAAGAAAAACAGGAGTTTGAGCTGGTGTTCATGCTACCAGTGCTCTCTGAGAGCCTACCAGTTGCTGCAGGATTTTTTGTTTTAATTCTATGGCTTGGATAGTCCTCATGCCTCTTAATTAACTCTTCCTAAGGAGTATGACTGCTGTCATCAGTCAGACCCTCAAAGGTAAAGAGATTTTGCTTCAAAGCCTTAAAAGCAGATACCTGAGGGTAGTTGTCACTGGATGTGTGGCTAGATGCATGGCTTCTGCAACTGAATGTTGCTGATGAAACAGGTTTGCTCCCATAAAGAAAAGGGAGTTGTTATTACTCCTGCTTCTTGAGGCAATTCCTGGCAGAAAGGGCTGGCTCAGCTTCGACATCTCGCCTCCCGCAGACCCTCCTTCATGCACAGTGCCTGGTGCTCAGCAAATTTCCCTTTCCCAATCCCTGTCAGTTTTGCCCAGGCGGAGGCGCGGGTGCCCACCGCTCCGGTCTGCAGCAGGGCATGGGGGTCCGTCTCCCTGCGGCTTCCCGGGGGCTGTGCTGTCGGATGCTTTTGGGCTGGGGAGTTCCCCTCCCTGTGCGCCTGTTGCAGAGCATCGGAGTCGTTGCAGGAGGAGGGACATACCTAGATGTTTTTAATAGTATCTCCTATTTTTGCTCTCTTTTTGATGTTGGGAAGCACTCCATCTTGCTCAGGGCTGATGACTTCCTAAACCCTTGTATTAGCATCCCCAGTTTAAATTATCCATTAGTCCTTGAGCTTGAGAATGGGTCCTGAGGGTTTCAGCCTGTGAACCCAAGACAAAAAGGAGACAATGTTGACTTAATTTTGGGCACGAAGAGTGTACTGTTTCAAAGATGAATTCACACAGCAGTCTGTGGTGATGGTGATCTTTTATTCTTAGACCACTAAGCAGAAGCAGAAGGGAGCGCATTGTCAATTGTTTGCTGATCCCACCCAGCAGTTTGATCTAAGCAGCTCGTGGCAGAAGTCACATCCCCAAACCTCCATGCCCACAGCTGATTTCCAAAGGCCTTAAATTGATGTCCTTACAGGGTATCTTTCAGATCGAGCATTTCATTTTTATAATACTGCTTTTTAATCTTGGGTCCAGCTATAAAGCAGTGTGTCCTGGTTAGGTGAAAAATATGAATAGTGTAGAAGGAATTAAAAAAAATGAATAGTTGCAAGTTTTGTTGCCCATCAAGCCGTAAGCCTCACCGAGCAGAAAGAAGAGATTTTCATGGATAAGTGATTGTCGAGTTTGTGTTCTTAAGTTGGCCAAAAACAGTTTTCCAGTTTCTGCACTGCCTCTGTGTGACAATATCCAAGAAACATTTCTGAATACAGTTTGGAGTTAAAAACTTTTCAGTAAAAGCCCTAAGGAGAGGATGGTGGTGACAGTACGTGGGGAAGGAGCGTGCTGGATTGTCTCTATTAGTGTGAGAGTAATCTCAGGCACAGAGAATAATAAATTCTTTTGCACTTACATCTGCATACATTAGCGATATTTTCTCTGAGGTAATGGATTTGTGCAGTTAGGAATGACAGAAGAACCAGGCCTAGGCTCCTGTAATTTCTGGTGCTTCTCAGGGACTAATAAATTCATAACTATTAAGAGAAGAAGGTTTCATTAGAGCATCCCAAATACCCTTTCTGGCACCGGAATTCCCATCTTAGGAGCTGCTTGGGAAGAAGAGTGTTTTGGAAATGGAAATGTTGGGAAATGCAGAAGGACACATCCTCTTTTTCTGAAAGGGTTGGGTATTCCAGTGGGAAAAATATGTAGGAATGAAAAAAGTAGGCATGGGAATGAATTTTCCTGGAGTTAAACACATTCTTGCAGCACTGAATTAAAGTCAAGCTTGCCATCACCGTTTCTTACCCTGCAATCAGCGGTAACACGTACTGCACTATATAAACGATACGCTCCTTTGTTCCCCCACAAAATGCCAGGTGCCAGGCACAGCGTCAGGCCCACCTGATTTAGCTGAGCCGCCTCGATCGCTTTGCTTACTGTAGGCCCTGTGCTGAGTTGCATCTTGCTGCATACCACATCTCAGTGCTGTGCCGGGAAAGTCCTGCTCCTGCCGGAAAAGAAAGCTGGGGAGAATAAGGAGGAATGTTTATGTCAAGTTTCCTGCTTCCTACAGCCGGTATCTGGGCAATACCCACGTGTGCACGTTTGTGGATGGTGCCTCGCAGCCCTGCCTTTGCCAGGTGGGGTTGTAGCAGACTGCAGGGGGAAGCAATTAACTGTAAGAAAGAAGCCCTGGCTTCTTTGGAAGCCTTCTTCTTGGAAGCCACCCTTGATCTAAATGTGCAGGGGAATCATTAAATAGAGGGAAAGTCTTGGTTTAGGAGCTGTAGCTGACTCCTCTGGTACCCCAGCACTGAGCTGGCTGAGATGCACAGAGAACTGGGGGAGCAAAGAGCGCAGACCCGGCTCTAAACCCTTCACAGCTTTGTTTGCAAAAGAGGCAGGCTCTGACTTTTATGCGCATCCCCCTGGGTGCTGGGACCCCGGCTCCTTCGCCGAGGGGGTGGATGCTGCTGGGCCAAAGCAGTTGCTGCAGAGGGCTGGGAGAGGGTGTCCGCTCACTCCCCGCACACAGGGGCGGCTGCAGGCATCACGGCGAAGCAGATCCGGGAGCCAGGGAGGGTGTTTGGCCCTGTGTGAGGCTCGGCGCAGCGTGACCCCAGGCGCCACCTGGGGCTGCTGCCTGCCGGGCTGCAAAGCCCCTTGTGCCATGTCTTGCCAGCACAGCGGTTTTAGGATGCTGCTGCTATGTGTTGTTGGGCTGGAAGTAAGTGGGAGCAGCTGTGCTGCTCCAGACAATGGGGAGAACAATAAAATGGTTAGGGAAATGTTTTTACAATACTAAAAAATGTGCATTTCATTTCTGGGGAAGAGGAGAGGGAAGTCATGAGCATTTTGCAGAACCTGCCAGTGCCCAAAGTTCAGCCTCGGCCATGAAGAGCTGGGAGGGGTGGGTGGGAGGGGGCGCTCGGTCTG